CGTCCAGTTAGCACTTAGTTTTGCCAAAATATTGTATTTAGAGATTATGATGATTGGATATGAATGTACGCCGGTCATTTGCCTGTGAAAGTATATGTGATGCAAACATAAGAAAATATATCAGGATCATTCACACATTTCAATTCGTCGGTTCTTTTTGCCAGTTTGTGATATGATAATAAAATTGTTCCTCACACAAGACACTTATTTTTCATAAGTATTTATAACCCTACATAATTTGTTGCGTACTTGGAAAACCAGCGCATAATATTAAAAAAATAGTTCTTGTTCTTGTATTTTTGTTCTCGTGCGAATTACTTTTATTTTTATTTGTGGATTTTTTTCATGTCTTACATGTCGCTCAAATCTTATTCCTATTGCACATAAATATGTTAGTTTTAAGTAAAAGCAGAAAATCGCTTTCTTATATATTTTTTTACAATATCTAAGGTGCATATATTGTTTGGGTTTTCCCACCGGAATTATAAAATGTATTATATTTTAGGATATCCAGTCCCGGTTTTTTTTTGTATGGAAAGTGATGCATTCTAATGTACATATGTAAATCAGAGATTTTACACATTCTAGAGTCTCGAAAATTTGTAATTTGAAGGAAGAATTTATTATAAGCGAAATATAGCAAATTTACCTTTAATCTGATGTATCACCAGATTTTATAGACTTACGTATTTCCCAGAATTTTTAATCAAAAATCGTCTGGAAAAATACACAGTAAGAAATTAGGTAGATTTTCAAACTCAACGACCGAATTTAAATTAAATTAGGTGCATAAAAAATCACTCAATTAGTCGCTTGGGGTCTCGAATGAACCCAAAAAATGGTTGAAAAAAGAGTGTAATAATTAAATGCAATAATGTGCGTATCAATTATTAGTAAAAGTTAGTAAAAAAAAAAAAACAAAAACAAAAATTTGCCTTCAATTTACGATGAATACTGGAGTTCATTCTTTGATACAAAACTGTGTGCGGTTGAGCGAAAATGTGAAATATTCGACAGTTTTTTACAACAAACATATGGCAAACTCTCGCACTTTTAGTTTCGCACAAACGCACAGCTGAAACCCTGACTGATCCCAAAGAGCGAGAAAACTGTGCTGTGCTGCGCTGTTCGTACATGGCTTCGGCTGTTAAAACGACAGCACAAACAAGGCGCAAGGAATATCTGAGACTGCGCTGCGGCTGAATTGTTTGAAATTTCGCAGCCAAAGCAACAACACGGCAGTGTTGCCAGATGGTCCATATAACTTCACTCTAAAATCATTTCATTTCTGCCTAAAAAACCCCTAAATATAGATTTCAGATCTCCAAGGTTGCCAAACACTAGTAACTCGGATATAGATGTGATGGGCGTTAATCAATTAATTTTTTAGTCAACTTGTTAACTGATTAAAAAAGTAATTGCAATTAAGGCTTTAATTGGACTTTGCAATTAAATTAATTAGAATTAATTTGATTTATTTTGGAACGAATTTTCCCTTGTCAAGCTTGGTTTGCAGACAAACCGGTTTCGCCGGTCTAGCATCTTAAGTGCCATTTTTCGTTCCAATTACTATACAAATAATTAACATAATCATACGGAAATAAACTAAACGTTTTAAAATATTTAGAAAATTCTACATACATTTAAGGAATGAGAAAGCTTTATTAGACTACACTGTGTTAATAGATTGATTTTGAATAGCTGGACTACTGAACGGGAACTTCTCTTAAAAAAAAACATAAATAAATTAATATTTGAAATAGATATTTCATACGTAATTTTCTACCTAATGGCCCAGTATAACCCTATATTTAGGGAAAAATACTCCAAACTGGCAGCACAAAGCAAAGCGCTAATTTTTGCCTTTCGCATCAAAGAGTGAACTCTAGTAATATTCCGTACTTAACTAATTAGAAAACCACTTGATGAGATTAATAAGATCTCACCCCATAGGATTTTTGTAAATGGAAAAAAAACACCCGTATTATCTTGTTTTATAAAAATATACCTCAAAGCCCATGATGCCTTCCATGTATTCTATATGGATAAAAAACTCTTTTTCGAGGAAATGGTATAGAATACATAAAAATCAATATTTTTCGCTCGGAAAACCCTGTTCCTTTTTAGTAGACTTCCAACGATACTTACAATTGCAATGGGGGACCCATAAAAAAATCATTTCAACGTTAAGGTTTTATACGAAAGAGTAAGTTTAAAAATATAAAATAAACATGGTTATGACAATAAAAGTTTTTTTTTATGTCACATATTACTACCACTACTTATTTCATTGAATCAAGGCATGTATCTACATTAAGTGGGAGCGGAAACAACAATTTTTGCGTTTCGAAATTCTTTTAATGCAGAATTACCCCAACTTTTATTTTGAAATCGGTTAATACTTCCTGCCTCCCATTTTTGAATGGAATTTTTCGGTTTTTTAAATTTTAGCAACTAACGTAGTTAAAAAAAACTTATTTAGAAAAATTCTAGGTATGAAGAATAGTATGCAAAACAATATTTTCTAAAATGATTTTCACAAATAAATTAAATAAACAAATTAGAATTTCGAAAAATCTCAAAATTTCAATCCAAAGGGGCAAGCAGAAAGTACAAACCGATTTTTAAATTTCAGCGGTATTCTATTGACGTCCAAAAACAACGATCCCCCCCTTTTTGGAATATCGAAATGCAAATTTTTTTCCGGTCTACCATAATGTGGTGCTTTTTTGTGTTACTAATCGGTAACTTACCTTAAAAATTTCAGTTTTTTCGCATTATAATATGTATTTAAACGTTTACTTCTTTTTTTTTTGTTTTAAGCACTCTTTTACATGTGTGTAGGTATTTTGGGGGGATTCCTTCATATTTAAGTAATTAAAAAAACAATTTTTCGTAGAAATGGTATAGAACCCTTGAAAGTCAATATTTGTCCAGCGAAAAACTCTGTTCCTCTTCAGGAGATTTCCAATATCACTTAATGCCTATTTGTTTCTTTTACTATTTTTTAATACTAACGAATTTTAATGGTCCCCATTTTTTTGGGGGGACCATATTTTTTGAGGACCCATAAAACATAGTTAGTATTGAAGAATTATAAAATTAATAATTGGGTATTATTACTGAAACTCTTCTGAAGAGAAATAGAGTTTTCCGATCGAAAAATATAAAGTTTCAGGAATACTATACCATTTCCATGAAAAATGTNAAGTACAAACCGATTTTTAAATTTCAGCGGTATTCTATTGACGTCCAAAATCAAGGATCCCCCCCTTTTTAGAATATCGAAATGCAAATTCTTTTCCGGTCTACCATAATGTGGTGCTTTTTTGTGTTACTAATCGGTAACTTACCTTAAAAATTTCAGTTTTTTCGCATTAGAATATGTATTTAAACGTTTACTTCCTTTTTTTTTGTTTTAAGCACTCTTTTACATGTGTGTAGGTATTTTGGGGGGATTCCTTCATATTTAAGTAACTAAAAAAACAATTTTTCGTAGAAATGGTATAGAACTCTTGAAAGTCAATATTTGTCCATCGAAAAACTCTGTTCCTCTTCAGGAGATTTCTAATATCACTTAATGCCCATTTGTTTATTTTACCATTTTTTAATACTAACGAATTTTAATGGTCCCGATTTTTTTTTGGGGGACCATATTTTTTAAGGACCCATAAAACATAGTTAGTATTGAAGAATTATAAAATGAATAATTGGGTATTATTACTGAAACTCTTCTGAAGAGAAATAGAGTTTGCCGATCGAAAAATATAAAGTTTCAGGAATACTATACCATTTCCATGAAAAATGTTTTTTTTCCATATAAAATATGTACGTGGAAAACTTAGAGTGCTTCGATCGACCTCTAAATATTTTTTGATTTCAAAATAAAAAAATAGGGGTATAGTTTCCTCGGTACCTAATGTACATACACAAGTAAATATATACATATTTGTTACTACATATATTTTAAGATAGTTTTGTGCAATTCGTAATGCAAAGGAAAAATTGAAACAAGTCTTAAGTGAAGAGGGTAAAACGAATTAAAGTTGGCACATTTCGAGTTCATACTTAAGCGCTTAAAACTTTTGTTAGTTGCTACATATGTACATTTCGCACTGAGCGAGTTCAAAGGGAAAATAAAGGCAATGCAGTGAAATGTTAAATTACTTTCGCAGCAGCATTAACAGTCAGAGGGCGGCCGCCAAGCTAAGCCCAGCTCACACAATCGTCTATGTCCAATTCAGTTTACGTCCACCCAACTAAAGCCGTGAACTGCAAGGCATGCGTACTGGTTTGCCCTATTCAGCGTCCAGAGCTTTGGAAATAAATATATAAAAATAATTGTGATGAGATGGAACAAGATCCTTTTGGAGTTTGACTAATAAGTATAGATATTAACGAAAAGCAGTATATCTGAAAACTGCAAACCAACTTTTACATTTTCTGCGAGTGACCTTACAGTTAAAAAAAAAAGCAAAAAGATATTCAGTTTTTCACTCCAATTTTTGTTCGCGTATATATCTATTTAGGTGGGTTTGAAACATGAAACAAATCGAGTACATGCTATTTAAGATTTTAATGGAGAGCTACAAAAGACTATTGAGGAGTCAAGCAAAAATAATATTTCTCTACAGGTCCCTTAACCACCTGATATACGAAAAAAGCGTCACCCAAAAATTTAAATTCCATTTTCAAAGTGTAATCTAATCGATCAGGATTGTGGACTCTACAAAAATCATTACGTTGAGCAAGTAGTTCTGTGTCGGGTTCATATTCATGTGTTCGGTTACGTGAACATCAGCATCTCCTTCTGAGGAATCCTTGGATGTATAGACTTGGTTAACCAACTCCTGTCTGGAACTCTTTTTTCGTGTATTCATACCCGGACACCCAGCATAGATCAACTATGTATATGCTTTCGAATAGGTTGTAGGTTTCTTAGAAGGAAAAAAAACCTCCCTCAACCTGACTTGAGTGACCTTATCTCGTTTCTGCANAAGTGTAATCTAATCGATCAGGATTGTGGACTCTACAAAAATCATTACGTTGAGCAAGTAGTTCTGTGTCGGGTTCATATTCATGTGTTCGGTTACGTGAACATCAGCATCTCCTTCCGAGGAATCCTTGGATGTATAGACTTGGTTCCCCAACTCCTGTCTGGAACTCTTTTTTCGTGTACTCATACCCGGACACCCAGCATAGATCAACTATGTATATGCTTTCGAATAGGTTGTAGGTTTCTTAGAAGGAAAAAAAAACCTCCCTCAACCTGACTTGAGTGACCTTATCTCGTTTCTGCATCGACTAGAATATCAATTGTATTCGATATCCAGCCTGAGTAAGACTCACTCCTAGTATCGCAATATCTGCTCTGAGTTTTCACCCACGAGATTGGCTTTAGTCACGTGTGACGTCTACTAAATTTCTTCAAAAAATGGCTGAACGAGAATATAGTCTGAGCCNTCTGCTCTGAGTTTTCACCCACGAGATTGGCTTTAGTCACGTGTGACGTCGACTAAATTTCTTCAAGAATGGCTGAGCGAGAATATGGTCTGAGCTATAGTAGAGCGTAAGCTACTACGACTGCTACGTTTTAAGCCGATAGGTTGAGCTAATAGGGACTCAAACAATATTATCGCTCTAACTTCGCATTCAATTAGTGAACAAATAATGTAGCCAGACACAGGTATGAAATTCTCCAACTTAGAAGGCCATCGGCCTAAGAAGGACTTCGGTTTTGGAATAAGACACCAAGTTTACTTATTTTCTCAACTTAGCCTGGGATCTAGTGCGATGCCGAGACATTGCTTGTTTAGATAATTGTAGAATTCAACCACTCAACACTCTTAATTCAAAGGTGAGGACTCTCCTCTCTATCTCTTCCTAAATAAAAAGAGTTTCATTTTTTGTGTTGCATCTTATCTCTTAGCCAATCGGTTTAGCTTACCTTAGGCTCCTTCCATTGTGTTTCTCCATACAGTTGCAATAATTCAGGTAACTAAATGTAGCACGCCATTGGAAAAGCCACTCGTTTCACTATCACAACATTAAACAAACATTGATTCTTGGATTTATACCGTGCTTGTTAAGAANGTATAAAATAAACTCGCTTTACATCGCAAGATGAAGCGAGACAAACCGATATTGATAAACCCAAATAACAAAACACACACACACACTGCACATAAATACCTCCACGTGTATGATTGAACATAACGGGACTGAAAGTGAGCTGTTCCCCAAAGGTGCAAGTAGGGATGAGTACAAAGGCAAAGTAGATTAATTAGTAGAAATTAATTTTTAAATTTCTGACAATACTCAGAAATAAACATAAAACATTTTCTTTTGACAAAAAATTAATTTATGCATATACGTTAGGGGAGTCTAAAAAAGCATGTGAAAAAGTAAACTCGAAATTTTAATTATCTTAACCTAGGATTGATCTACACCGAAAAAAATACCTCTTTTTTGTTTTAAAATCAAAAAATATTTACAGGTCGTTCAAAGCGCTCAAAGTTTTTCATGTATATTATATGGAAAAAAATGGTCGTAGAAATGGTAGAGCATTCTTGAAAATCTTTATTTTTTGATCCGGAAAGCTCGGCTTCTCTTCAGGAGATTTCCAGTAATAATACCCAATTGTTTATTTAACCATTTTTACATGGTAATTATGTTTTATAGGTCCGCCGAAAGCCCCTGGCCAGCGATGGGGGGACCAATTAAATGTCTTTAGTATTAAAAAATCGTTAAAGAAACAATTGGGTATTATTGTTGGAAGTCTACTGAAGAGACCTCGGGTTTTCCGATCGAAAAATATTGATTTTCGAGAATTCTATACTATATTTATGAAAAGTTTTTTCACCCCATATAAAATACATGGAAAACTTTGAACGCTTTGAGCTAACTCAACAATTTTTTTGATTTCAGAAAATTCATAAAATTAAAATTCCGACTTTTCTTTTTTTTTTTTACCACTCTAATATACATACTAAGATACATGCATAGCTATGTATGTGTATATTTTCATATGTATACCATATTTAATAGAAAAGACCATGTTTATAAGCACACTTAATAAAACCATTAAATGGTTTACAAAAGCATCATTATTTTATTAAGAAAAATATATATAATATTATTGGTCTGGCATTGTGACAAAAGAGCAGATTGACACAGTCATTGCTTGAGCTAATCTTCTCTTTTGCCACAGTGCCAGGCCAGTTGCTCAATTTCGTGAATATCCCTAATATGAAAAATTACTTCTTCTAGTGATACGCAATAGGGGTATTCTCTGAGTCTGGCAAAGCCCTTGCATGGTGCACTGATTGCCCGGCAAAAACCGGTTTTCGTATAGGACGGCTTTGCAAACTGTCCGATCTATGCACTGTGCAAAGGCTTTGCAAGACTCAGAGAATACCCCTAATGTTAAAATACAATGAAGTGTGAAGTTAGGAAGGGCAGCCTTACTGCTGAATATGGAGCGCTTCTAGTCCAGTTGGGAAGCTAAAACCTTATGTATGTACATATGTATAACTGAACAAAAAACATGAGTAATTGCGTTGAGACATTGTGTGTAAAAAAACACAACAGCGTTGCATATTACCTATTAAAAAATGGATTTTTAGTTGATATTTGTGTGTGGCATATCTCTTGGTCAGCCGAGCAGCATCAAATTTAATTTTTTATTTTTAGGTCTTACTTTTTACAATTTTGCCAACAGCGCTTTGACTCACGCAGGCATAACGGAAAATAAATAACGTTTATTTGGACGTTTAAGCGGTTATTTTAGCGTTTTTTATTATTTATTTTTTTTTTTTTTGTTGTATATATATATTTCTTGTGCACCAAATTGCATGTGCAAATTTCAGTAAAGCCGTAAATTTACACAAATTTCTAAACAATTTCGCATCTCTAAATTGCTACTACTAGCCTTATTTTATCACTTATTAGTGGGAATTGTTTTTGTTTTTTCTCCCATCACTTTCTATACATAGTCAAATAAGTTACGCCAGCGAAAATTTATCAACTCTTATTTTCACTTAAGTTTTGGAAAATTCACCGCCTACATAAACGACCGCTGCGACGTCTGATAGGCAACTGTAGCGGCAGCGACAAACCAAATAATAATACACCACCCAGCCAACCAGTGGGTAAACGTTATATTCATACATACTTACATACTTACATATGTACGTAAAATACGCATTCCACAATGCCAAATGCAAAAATACACAGCAAAGGAAAAGAAGACAATTTGTGATGTGGTTGCCAACTTACGTTAAATTAAATGAAGTTACCTTTTGTGTTGCGGCAGGCAACTCTATTCAATATGCAATTGCGAGAGTATAGCGCGCATGTATGTTTAGTTCTTATCCGAGGGAAAGTGGATTGCATCAAGGCGATTTGGTGCTCTACTAAATTTTATATCGCATGCGATAGAATTGTTGTTGGGGTACTGCAGCGAGATTGCTGCCAAGAAAGTACTACACATTGTTGTTTGATGCAAAGACAAGAACCACGAGTTTATTTACCTTCTTTAAATGCAGAACATATGTACATATAAAAATGTGTACATACTTATGAATGTTAGGACTTATGTATATGGTGGCTTTGTGATAGGATATTTTAAAATTTTGAGTTCACCATAGAATTACGTTACGCACGTACAGAGTCACAACTCAAAATAATACGTTTGTCAGAAAATGCGAACATCAATTTCTTAGCACATGATAATCATCTGGGCAAGGGCGACCTTGCCATAGGTTTTCTTTTTTAACAAATTATACATAACAAAAATTTGCTCCAGCTTTTTGCTGAAAGGTAAATTAAAGCTCTGCGTACATTTTTAGCGCATAATCTCAAAAATGTCGAATTTTTTGTTATGACTCTTTTGAAGGCGGTGTGCGATATTTAAGAATACGTATTGCTATTTTTAGTCTCAACGGAAAAGTTAGAAAATTCGTATCTTCGAGAAATACAAAAAAAATTCATTATTAAATTAAAATTAATTTTTGGAAAGTGTAAATTAAAATTGCAATATTAAATAAAATAAAGTTTATTAAAAATCTTAGATAAAATTAATTATAATTAAAATAATAAAATTAACTTAACTAAATCCAAATAAATAAAAATTAAATAAAATAGGGGATGTGGATTTCAATAGAATAAATAAATCAAACAAATAAATTAAATTACTTTAAATACAAAATAAATAAATCTTCCGAAAGATAGATAGTGAGACAGGAGATATCCAAGTATGTCTTTAGAGTTACTTTCGTCATTGAACTACCACGCATTCTTCACTCTGCGCCAGTCCTAACTTTACAGCATGAAATAGAGTAAGATATGAGGGGTATACACGATCCGGTGCATACGGTCTAGTATGGTGCATGATTGTTGCTGTTTCATGTGTTCAGGCAGCAACAAAATTAGCTATTAATGCTATCTATGCACCATGCTAGACAGTATGCACCATATGTACCCCAACTAGTATCTTGCTGTCAATGCCAATATTTTTCCGCGAAAGGGAATAACATTAGCTATCAAAACTATTTTGTTTGTTTGTAGAAAGCGCCACGATTAATTCGCATGGAGTGTTCAAAAACCACACTGTAACAATATATAAGAAAACACTGTACAGCACTTGGCTGGGTACTGGACCAAACCAACTTTTTTTCTAGAGATTCAGTCACAATTTTCCTTATACATGTATATAACCCTTTTTGTTCAAACTTATATTACAGGTGCTAAATATAGGGGTCAAGGGTCAGATCTTCGAAAAATCAAAAAAATTATATTTCAAAAAACGTTTAACTGATTTTTAAATGTTATAAGGGACCTGTAATATAAATTTGCACAAAAAAAGTTGTATACCGTTTAAGTACGAGTAAACGGCGGTATAAATACGTCTATACTTTTACTTTTTAAGTTATTTGCATACAATACTTAAAAATAACTTTTTACCAAAGGTCCTATTTCGAACATCGAAGGCGCATATCTCGGTTTCGGAGGCTAACTTCGAAAAACGGAAAACAACTTTTTTACTTATGACTCAATCTCTTGAAAAATAATGGTTACCCA